TGCAAAGCCGCGCGCACGGGCTCGCTGTGCAGATCGTGTTCAAAAGCTTTTTAAAGTCGAGCAGCATGAGACCGCTGGAGTACCCTCGACGCGACACCCACTCCGAGCTGGCAGCCTGGACCCAAACAAGCTCGTCACTGCTGCGGCACGAAGTCGACCACTGGCGGGGCCGATCATCGGCGACCTGCCATCTCTTGACAAGCCAGCGCCAGAGCCGCCGACGCGAGCACGTGAATGAGAGCGATCGGCCGAGAGCCCCCTTCACGCTTGCTGAGAAAAACGAGCTTGGCCCAGAGGCGAGGCCAAGAGCAACGCGTTTCAACTTCCCCGAGGATCTCGATCAGAGCCAGCAAATCTCCATCGGAAAGGTCACAGGCTGCCGCGGAAAATGCGAATCAAACCACAGCCCGAACGCTTGTGAAAGCTGCGAATACACCCCTTGTAATCAGCCAGGCTGGGAGGCAGCAGCTCTGGCCCCATGTCGCTGGGCCGGGAGGTGGAATTAGAGAGGGCCCCCACCCTCCTCCAACCCGACACCCAACAGGCAACGGCTCAGGCGGCATCTTGGCACAAAAACGGTGCCCCCAGCTCTGCGGAAGTACTCTGGGCAGTCCTCGTACACTATGTCATGGGAGTCCCCGAAGTCCAGCTCTGCCGTTTACATCCACAACTTCCTGCGCATGTCGATGTCCAGGTCCGCCTGCTCGACTGCCTCACGACGATGTTCCAAGCGCGGCCCAGGGTCAGATCGCAAGCGCCCGATGGGGAGATCGACAGGAAAACGACGCGGCAGACGAACCGCTGGATGACAAAGGGGACATTGCGCCTGCACCTGCAGCGCTAGCCTAACAGGATACTGCGGTGCAGTTGCAATCTGTCAGCACGTCTGTTTTGGGCCCATGTACAAGCGAGTCTGGGGCGACAAAGAAATCAAGCACTCTCGCCTTGAACTCTGAGGAATTCGTGCGCGTGGGCACCACTGGAGCCAAAATGGCTGCATCCAACGCCGTCGGCCAACCAGACACATCCAGCTCGGCTGGACCCATATTGAAATTTCCAGATACCACAAAGGGCAAGCCTGCGAGTTTGACGGCATCGCCGATCTTGAGGAGCATGCTCCATTTCTTGGCCGACAAACCTTCGCCGCTGTGGTCATACACACTGACCCACAAGAAACCAACCGCCGCGATACCTGTGGAATGCTTGACCGAGACTCTGCCTGGAACAAATGATCACACAATGTGCTCGACCTCCGACAGCACGATAGCGGCGGGCACCATATGCGCAACCCCACCACTCGATCCACCTTGTCCTGTGGCCACAGCAGCCTCGAAGCAAGCGCGCCATCCACGCTTTGATAATCTGCTCTCCCATTCATGCGTCTGCCCCTGCAGAAAGTGATGCTCCTGCACTGATATGCCGCTATTAGCTAGGACTTTGTCATTATAGAGCAGCGTTTCCAGTCCGACGAGGCCTGTCACATTGCTGGCCACGAGGACCCACTTGCTGCTGCTAAAGATCATTCGAATCACTGGCAACGGAGTCTGCGGACTTGAATTTCTCAAAAGTTGCACTGCGCATCGGGTAAAACAAATCCTGTACGCACCCACGCTTGACACCGTGCTTCTCAACAAGTGAGTTGACGAGACCATTATCAGACCGAGCCCTTGCCAGCCACGCCAGGAGCTCAGCATAGGCTGCATCGGCCCGCTGCTTGGCAGCCTCGGCTGCGGCTGCCCGCGCGGTCTCCCGTCGCAGCTCCTCCTGCGCGGCGGCAGCGGCGGCAGCTGCCTGAGCGGCGGCGGCGGCGGCGCACGCAGGAGCATCGCCAACGCCATCGGCGTCGCGGCCTCCTGCGCCGGCCTTGTCGCCGCCACCCATGGCCACGTCCTCGGACCTGGGGCCAGCAGCGTCGCGCACAGGCTGCACAAGAGCAGCAAGGCCATTAGCCACCTGTTGCAGCCGCTCATCCTGCTTCAGCGCGGCGACCAGACTCTGGAGCTGCTGCACGGGCTCCTCCTTCGCCGCGATGGCCCAGTAGGCTTTAGCCGCCATAGCCGCCGCCTCCTGGACCGCTGCCTGCGCATGAGCCAACTCGGCTTTGCACTTGGTTGCGTGGGCGCACGCGGCCAGGGCATTCCCCTGGGCCTTGTCGTAGGCCCTCTGGGCCTTGTCTCGCTTGTCCGCCAGCACGTCCTGCTCCACTCTGGCGGACTTTGCTCACTCGGCTCGCCTCGCAGTTGATCACGCTGCGCCACGACCCGCGCCACCAATTTGTGCGCCCACCATGTACTAACATCATTGAAGTCGTCCTCAGCCATCTTGGCGTAGACGATGAGCTGAATCTCTGGAAGGAAATTGAATTTTTTGACAGCGGATGGCGGTCCGCCATTCCACGCACCACGATCACGCTCGAGCATGCCGAATGCAGGCTTCGGCCCCGCCGCCTTGCCACACAACCTACAATTCTCACGCCACGAGTAGTTACACTTGTAGGAAA